TCGTACCTGCGCAATTTGGGCTGCAGGTGCAGCACCACATAAGCGGCTCATAGGCCGCATATGTGAGAGTTGGTCTTGGAAGCTGGGTCTGCAGGTGCGGAGGATCGTGCGTAGCTGCGCATCCGCAGATGTGGATTTCTTCCGTAGAAGCGGATTTTGGTCAATTGGCTTAGGACGAGAGGTGCGGTCAAGTTCCGCAGAAGCGGGCGCACAGAAGCACAGATGCACCTTTGGCCCGCAGAAACAGAAATCCCTGATCTTTAGTGTAGCTGCAGCTGCGATGGCATTTTCGCAGATACGGAGTCGTGGAAGCGACCATTTGTTTGTAGGTGCGGAAATCACTAGGCAGAAAAGGGTGGAATCGATGATTTTATTTCATTTTCCACATTTTGAGTTAGAGAGCTCGATTTTGGGAAATTTTAGTGGGATTTTCAAGGATTGGATCGGGGGTAAGTGTTTTTGACTCGGATTTTCTAATTATTCACGATTCCATCATTGTTTTTATCATCTAATTAGAGATCTAAGCTGGAGATATTTGGGAAATTTTGTAAAAACTTTCCTAAACCATAAATTGAGGATTTGAACAAAGTCAGAATAAGATAATATTTGTATAGTAGGACTCATATCGGAATGGGTGTTCGGCTTTTCTAAGTTTATCGGGTTCCGAGGTGTGGACCGGGGTTGACTTTTTGAGTTGACTTTTCAATTTTCATTAAAGGTTAAAACTTTAATATCCAGAATTTCTTCCTACGATTTGTATTTACGGTATCAAGTTATTTTGGCTAAATTCGAGCCGTCCAGAATTGGATTTTCGTAGGAAAGGCTTATTAGGGGATTGATTTAGCTTGTTTGAGGTTAGTATCTTGCCTAACTTTGTGTGGAAGAATTACCCCTTAGGACTTGAGTTTATTTGTGTTTTGGATTATAGGAAAGACATGTACACGAGGTGATGACTATGTACACTGGCTTATATGTGGTACTTTGACTGGTTTAGACTCTTAGACTCTTTCATGCATTTAATTAGAAATCGTAATATCATGTTATATCTTCCATCTTTAAATTGCTCTTACCTGCTTTACTTGATGTTGTTATCACATGATCTATCCCTTATTGTCAAACATGCTCTTATATACGTTAATTGCCTTTGTTATCTCTCCTATTGTCATGTTACCTCCTTTATTGTCAAGTTATTCTTATTGGAGTTATTATTACAAGTTGTCATTTCGTGTAAATACCTTCATTTTGAATTATTAAAGTTATGGAAGTTACTATCACACCGAGGTTGAAGTTTTTGATTATTAAGATATATTTCTTTGTTGAGTAATTCCCACTCATTTTGTTATTATTGAGATTCTTATTCGCATTGTGGTTGAGCCGTAGGTTATATATTGTGGTAACTTCGGTATTGTTGATTTTGGCAAGTTGTGGCATATGGTCACTTGTGGTGCGAGTTATTATTGTGTTGTAATAATTATACCCATGTGGCGCTATACGGATAGGGGTTAATGTGCATCCGGCGACTTAAGGTGGGAATTTATGTGCGTGTTGCTAATTACTTGAAGCCATGTGGCGACAAAAGGAGGCTAAAGTGTGTGTAGCTATTTCGAGAAAACATTTTCAAAAATATCTAAACGTAAGGCTCACGCGACGGTATAAGGAAAGGTTGTGATTCTGAATTGTGAAATGAGGTTATAAGGCGTGGTACCTCGGTTGTGATTCTTGTTGTACATTCTATGTTAAAAAGGCTTATTATTAGAACTGTTGTTGTAGTTGTTTCCTTCTTTGTCTTACTTGTATTCGTCCGTATTTGATTACTTGTTGTTCTCATCATGTGTTCACTTCTTGTTGCTTTTACCGCCGTAATTTCCGTTGTTAGCTTACCTTATTATATTGCTTTACTGTCATTATTTCCTCGCTTTCACTATTAGACTATACGATACTTTGTTCAGTTTTTCTTATCCTAAAAGGTTTCTTGACCTAGCCTCGTCACTACTCTATCGAGGTTAGGCTTGATACTTACTAGGTACCATTGTGGTTTATTCATACTACACTTCTGCACATTTTGTGCAGATCCAAGTATATCTGCTCGTGCAGGACACCAATGATCGTTTAGTTATCTTTTCGGAGATTTCAAGATATACCTCCTCGACATCCGTAGGCCTCGGAGTCACCTCCAGTCATTACTTTTACTATTGTTTATCTTATACTCAGACAATGTTGTATTAGAGATTCTTAGATTATTTCTATAGAGCTTATCACTCAGTTCCACCAGTTTTGTGATCTTGTTACTGATATTACGTTATGGAGTTATTATGAGTTTTTTCAAATTATCTCAATATCTTAGTTTGTTATTTCTGTTAAGCTATCAATGAATGTTAGGCTTACCTTGTCTTAGAGATTAGGTGCCATCACGACATCCTAAGGTTAGAAACCGGTGTCGTGACAAAATTGATACCAGAGTTCTAGGTTCATAGGTGTTACGAGTCATAAGAAAATTTTGGTAGAGTCTTGTGGATCAGTACGGACGTTTGTACTTATTTTCGAGAGGCTACGAAACTGTTAGGAAATACCACTTCTTTGATTCCTTATCATGCAAACTAGTTGATTTTGAAATCTGAGTTTTCCTCTTTTTACTCTCTCACAGGTGGTGAGCGCATGCACTGCTGGATTCGGTGATCAGACACTCGCGCCCTCTATTAGAGCCACGAGAGGCCAGGACCGGGATAGAGGCCGAGAAGGAGCATGTGGTGAAGGTAGAGCACCTGCTTGGGCAGCGACTGAGGAGCCGCTAGTAGCTCCGTTGGGGGACAAACTCCCGAGACGCCTGTTGTTGCCCCTGGACTTCAGGTGACCCTAGCATACTTTCTATGCATGTTCGGCACTCTAGAACAGGCGCGATTGATTCCCCTTACACCGGCTACATCCCAGGCTGGGGAAGGAACTCAGACTCCCGTAGCCCACACTTTAGTGCAGCGGGTCCATGTTGATCAGGTCCAAAAGTTTATGCCAGCATAGCCTATTATTCTGGTTCAGCTTGTGGTTAGGCCAGCGACATCTGAAGAGGAGAAGAGGTGACTTGAGAGGTTTAATAAGTATGATCCTCCTACTTTCAGGCAGAAAACTATCGAGGATGCGCAAGGCTTTTTAGAGAGGTGTCACTGTATTATCCGCACCATGGTATTGTGGAGGAGAGCAGACTTACTTTTACTATATTTCAATTATAACGAGTAGCGTATTAGTGATGGCAGGCTTACGAGGAGGGAAGGCCAGCTGATGCCCCACTCATTTGGGCTCAGTTTTTAGAGATATTTTTGAGAGAGTTTGTTCCCTAGACCCTTCGTGATGCATGGCGCACAGAGTTTGAGAAGCTCCATCAGGGGACTATGGCAGTGTTAGAGTATGCTATCAGATTAAGTATGTCGTCCCGACATGCACCTACCTTAGTTTCTACAGTCAGAGAGCGAGTCTGCAGATTCATCGAGGGGCTCAACTATTGTATTAGATTCAGCATGGCTTGAGAGATAGAGACAGACACTCTGTATCAGTAAGTGGTTGATATCGCACAAAGGTTGGGGGTTATGCAGGGCCAAAAGAGAGAGGACAGGGAGGCTAAGAGGCCTCGAGATACTGGAGGATTTAGTGCTTACCAAACTGCGACTACATCCCGACATGGAGGGGGATATATGAGTCGGCCAGTTCATTCAGCACTTCCAGCTTCTAGCAGTTCCCCGGCCATCCCGAAGTCTCAGGTTGCCCATTATGCATTGCCATTGTCCAGTGTACCTCCTGCACGGGGTACTTTCAGCGGTCTGTCCAGCCGACCAGGCCTGAGTCAATTTCAGTAGCCACGCCCACCGAGAGGTTATTTTGAGTGTGGTGATACCAGACACATGGTGAGGGACTGTCCTAGACTTATGAGGGGTGCACCTCCATATACTACATAGGCTCCATGGATTCCACAGGGTCCACAGGGTTCACAGGCCACGGTTTTTGCTCCAGTTACCGCCCCACCTGCACTACTAGCTAGGGGTGGAGGTCAATCAGGCAGAGTTCGCCCTAGAGGGGGAGGCCATGCTCATTTCTATGATTTTTTGGGTAGGACGGAGGCTATCGCTTCAGATGCTGTCATCATAGGTATTGTTCCAATTTGTCATAGGGATGCCTCAATTTTATTTGATTTGGGCTCCACTTGGTCATATGTGTCATCTTACTTTGCTCCGTATTTGGATATATCACGTGATTCTTTGAGTACTCCTGTATATGTGTCCATGCTTGTGGGAGATTCCATTATTATAGACCGTCATTATCGGTCTTGTTTAATCACTATTGTTGGTTATGAGACCAAAGATGATCTATTTCTACTCAATATGGTAGACTTTGATGTGGTCTTGGACATGGACTGGTTGTCGCCCTATCATGCTATTTTGGGTTGACACGCCAAGACCATGACATTAGCTATGCCAGGGTTACTGCAGTTGGAGTGGAGGGGTACATTGGATTATGTTCCTAGCAGGTTTGTATCATTTTTAAAGGCACAACGAATGGTTGAGAAGGGCTGTGATGCGTACCTAAGCTTTGTGAGAGATGTCAGTGCTGATACTCATACCGTTTTAGTTCCTATAGTGAAAGATTTCCCAGATGTATTTCCAGCAGACCTACCGGTCATGCTGCCTGATAGGGATATCGATTTTGGTATTTACTTGGTGCCAGGCACCCAGCCCATTTCTATTCCACCATATCATATGGCACCTATGGAGTTGAAGGAATTGAAAGAGCAACTTCAAGAGTTGCTTGATAAGGGTTTCATCTCGCCGGGTGTCTCGCCTTAGGGTGCTCCAGTTTTGTTCATGAAGAAGAAGGATGGTTATATGTGGATGTGCATTAATTATAGGCAACTGAACAAAATTACGGTCAAGAACAAGTACCTGTTATCATGCATTGATGACTTATTTGACCATCTCCTGGGTGCTACAATGTTTTTAAAATTAATTTGAGATCAGGGTATCATCAGCTGAAGATTCGGGACTCGAATATCTTGAAAACTGCTTTCAGGACTCGGTATGGTCACTACGAGTTTCTAGTGATGTCATATAGGCTGACCAACGCCCCAACAACATTTATGCATTTGATGAACAATGTATTCCAGCCATATCTTGATTCTTTCATCATCGTATTCATTGACGACATCTTGGTGTACTCTTGAAGCCGAGAGGATCATGATCAGCATTTGAGAATCGTGCTCTAGACCTTAAGGGAAAAGAAGTTGTATGCAAAATTCTCAAAGCGTGAATTCTCGCTTGATTCAGTGGTATTTTTGGGTCAAGTGGTGTCTAGTGAGGGGATCAAGGTAGATCCGAAGAAGATTGAGGCAGTTTAGAGTTGGCTTAGACTGTCTTCAGCTACTAAGATTCGGAATTTCCTTGGTTTGGCTGGATATTATCATCGTTTGGTAGAGGATTTCTCGTCCATTGTTGCACCTTTGACCAGATTTACCTAGAAAGGTGCTCCATTCAGGTGGTCCGACGAGTGTGAGGAGATCCTTCAGAAGCTCTAGACTGCCTTAGCTTGACCACAACTCTAGTTCTAGATTTACCTTCAGCATCGGGTTCATATACGGTTTATTGTCATGCTTTACGATTGGTATTGGATGTGTCGTGATGCAGGAGGGTAGGATGATTACTTATGCTTTGTGGTAGCTGAAGCCCTATAGGAAGAACTACCCTGTTCATGATCTAGAGTTGGCAGCTATTCTTCACACATTGAAGATTTCGAGGCATTATCTCTACGTCATGTCTTGTGAGGTATTCACATATCGTTGGAGTTTATAGCACTTGTTTAAGCAAAAGAACCTGAACTTGAGGCAACAGAGGTGGTTAGAGCTATTGAAAGACTATGATATCAATGTTCTATATCATCCCGGGAAGGCCAATATGGTAGTTGATGCCATGAGTAGGAAGGCAGAGAGTATGGGTAGCCTTGCATATATTCCAATTGGCGAGAGACCATTAGCATTGGATGTTCAGGCGTTGGCCAATCAGTTTGTGAGATTGGATATCTCGGAGCCCAGCCGGGTTCTTGCTTGCATGGTTTCTCGGTCTTTTTTATATGAGCGCATCAGAGCGCGTCAGTATGATGACCCCCATTTTCTTGTTCTTAAGGACAAAATGCAGCACGACGATGCAATGGAGGTTTATATTGGAGATGGTGAGGTGTTGATGATGTAGGGCCGGATTTGTGTGCCCAATATGTATGGGTTGCGTGAGTTGATCTTTGAAGAGGCCCACAGTTTGCGGTATTCCATTCATCCTGGTGCCGCTAAGAGGTATCAGGATTTGAGACAATACTATTGGCGGAGAAGAATGAAAAAAGACATAGTAGAGTATGCAGCTTGGTTCTTGAACTGTCAGTAGGTGAAGTACGAGCATTAGAGGCAGGGCATCTTGCTTCAGAGACTTGAGATTCCCGAGTGAACATGGGATCGTGTGTACCATGGATTTCATTGTGGGGCTCCTACGGATTTTGAAGCAATTTGACGGAGTATGGGTTATTACGGATAGGCTGACCAAATCCTCACATTTTATTTCGGTTGTGACTAGCTACTCTTCAGAGCAGTTGGATCAGATCCATATCTGTGAGATTGCTCGCCTTAATGGGGTGCGGGTGTCCATTATCTCCTATCGAGGTACGCAGTTTGTATTGCACTTCTGGAGGGCCGTCTAGCGTGAGTTAGGCACACAGGTTGAGTTGAGTACAATATTTCACTCCCAGATGGATGGGCAGTCCGAGCGCACCATTCAGAACTTAGTGGATATGCTACGTGCATATGTTATGGATTTCGGGGGTACATGGGATTAGTTTTTACCACTTGCCGAGTTTTCCTACAACAACAGCTACCAATCGAGCATTCAGATGGCTCTTTATGAGGCCCTATATGGGAGGCGGTGTCGTTCTCCAGTTGGTTGGTTGGAGCCGGGTAATGCTATGTTGTTGGGCACTCCTTTGGTTCAAGATGCCTTGGAGAAAGTCAAGTTGATTCCGAATCGATTTCGTAAGGCACAATCATGACAGGAGAGTTATGTCGATCAGAAGGTTCATAATGTAGCATTTATGGTGGGAGAGAGAGTTTTGCTGCGGGTTTCACCCATGAAGGGTGTGATGAGATTCGGTAAGAAGGGTAAGTTGAGCCCTAGGTCATTGGCCCTTTTGAGATTCTTGAGAGGGTTGGTGAGGTGGACTACATGCTTGCATTGCCACCCAGCTTATCGGCGATTCACCCGGTGTTGCATGTTTTCATGCTCCAGAAGTATTATGGTGATCCGTCCCATGTGTTAGATTTCAGCTCAGTCCAATTGGACAAGGATTTGAATTATGTTGAGGGGCCGGTGGCCATCTTGGACAGGCATGTCCAAAAGTTGAGGTCAAAGAACATTTCTTCAGTGGAGGTTCAATAGAGGGGTCAACCAGTCAAGGAGGCGACTTGGGAGACCGAGCATGATATGCGTAGCTGTTATCCTCACCTTTTCAGCACTTCAAGTATGTCTCTATACTCATTGGAGGACGAATATTTATTTTAAAATGGGGGAGAATGTAACGACCCCACTGGTCATTTTGAGTATTTTAGCCACGTTCCCCTATTTATTGCCTCATATATGTTCAACTGTGGTTATGTGACTTTCCGGGGTGGTTGGGTTGGTTTTGGGTGAGTTTCGGAGTGAATTAGGACACTTAGTCCCAAAGTTGGAAGCTTAAGTTAAAACGATTGACCGTAGTTTGACTTTTGTGTAGAAGACTCTGAAATGGAGTTTTGATGGTTCCAATAGCTTGGTATGATGATTGTGGACTTAGGCGTATGTCCGGATGTTGATTTAGAGGTTCGTAGGTTGATTTGGTGCTTTTTGGCAAAAACTGGATGATTGAAGGTTTGGAAGATTGATAGGTTTGTCCGAGGGTTGACTTTATTAATATCAGGCTCGGATTGTGATTACGGGAGTTGTTATAGGTCCTTTGTGTCATTTGGGACTTGCATGCAAAATTTGAGCTCATTCGGAGTTGGTTTGATATGATTCAGCATTAGTTTTAGAAGTTGAATGTTTATTGATTCAATAGGCTAGAATTGGGGTGTGATTCGGAGATCTGATGTTGTTTGATGTGATTTGAGTCCTTGAGTAGGCTCACATTGTGTTTTGGGACTTGATTGTATGTTCGAACGGGGTCCCGGGGCCCCAGGTGTAATTCGAGTTGAATTCGGACAAATTTGGAGACTTGGAGGATTTTATGCATGTTGAAGTCTGGTGCATTCACACCTGCGCCTTTTGGTCCGTAGGTGCGGCACCGCAAAATCTCATTGGCCGCAGATGCGAGAGTTGGTCTTGGAATTGGGGTCCGCAGGTGCGGAGGATCATGCACAGGTGCGCATGCGCAGATGCGGATTTCTTCTGCAGAAGCGAATTTTGGTCAGTTGGCTTAGGACCGCAGGTGCAATCGGGTTTCGCTGAAGCGAATGCGCAGAAGCATTTAGGGGTCCGCAGAAGCGGGAGAGCAGATGCGCCTTTTGCTTGCATAAGCGGAAATTCCTGATATTTAGTGTAGGCGCATCTGTGATGGTATTTCCGCAGACGCGGAGTCACGGAAGCGACCATTTGTCCGCAAGTGCGGAAATCACAAGGAAGAAAAGGGTGGAATCGAGGGTTCTATTTCATTTTCCACATTTTGAGCTAGAGAGCTCGATTTTGGGGGATTTTTGAGGGAATTTTCAATAATTGGATCGGGGTAAGTGTTTTTGACTCGAATTTGCTTATTATTCATGATTCCATCATTGTTTTTATCATTTAATGATTTGAGTTGGAGATATTGAGGAATTTTGTAAAAAGTTTCCTAAACCATAAATTGAGGATTTGAAGGTCGGTTTGAAGTCGAATTGGATAATTTTTGTATGGTTGGACTCATATTGGAATGGGTGTTCGGATTTTATAAGTTTGGTCGACTTCCGAGGTGCAGGCCCGTCGTTGACTTTTCGATTTTCATTAAAGATTGAAACTTTATTATCAGAAATTTCTTCTTGTGGTTTGTATTTATGATATTAAGTTATTTTGGCTAGATTCGAGCCATCCGGAGTTGGATTTTTGCGGGAAAGGCTTATTAGAGGATTGATTTGGCTTGTTTGAGGTAACTATCTTGCCTGAATTTATATGGGGGAACTACTCCTAGGACTTGGGTTGATTTTTCTTATTTGGATTACATGAAAGACGTGTACAAGAGGTGACGGGTGTGTAAACGGGCTTATATGTGGTACTTTGACCGTTTCAGACTCTTAGACCCTTTCATATATTTAATTAGAAATTGTAATATCATGTTATAACTTCCATTGTTAAATTGCTCTAACTTGCTTTACTTGATGTTGTTATAACATGCTCTATCCCTTATTGTCAAGCGTGCTCTTATATGCCTTAAATGCCTTTGTTATCTCTCTTACTGTCATGTTACCTCCGTTATTGTCAAGTTATTGTTATTTGGAGTTATTATTACAAGTTGTCATTTCGTGAAAATACCTTCATTTTGAGTTATTGAAGCTGAAGTTATGGAAGCTATTATCACATTGAGGTCGAAGTTGTTGATTATTGAGATATCTTTCCTTGTTGAGTAATTCTCACTCATTGTATTATTATTGAGATTCTTGTTCGCATTGTGGTTGAGTTGTGGGTTATATATTGTGGTAACTTTGATATTGTTAATTTTGGGAAGTTGTAGCATATGTGCACTTGTGGTACGAGTAGTTATTGTGTTGTGATATTGATGCGCTTGCGGCGGTATAATGACAGGGGTTAATGTGCATGCGGCGACATAAGGTGAAAATTTATGTGCGTATTGCTAGTAAGGGAATTGCTTGAAGCCACGCGACGACATAAGGGGGCTAAAGTACGTGTAGCTATTTCCGGAAATATTTTCAAAAAAATCTAAATGTAAGGCTCACGCAGCGGTATAAGGAAAGGTTATGATTGTGAATTGTGAAATGAGGTAATGAGGCATGGTACCTCGGTTGTGATTCTTGTTGTACATTCTATATTAAAAAGGCTTATTGTTTCAACAGTTGTTGTTGTTTCCTTCTTTATCTTACTTGTATTCATTAGTATTTGATTACTTGTTGTTCTAATCATGTGTTCACTTCTTGTTGCTTTTACCGCCTTAATTTCCGTTGTTAGCTTA